TTTTGAATTGCGCTTAATGGAATAAAGTCGTGTAAGAATATATAAAATTTAAAATTTTCAAACCGTGTTAAATCAAAACCGTGTGAAAACAGAATTGGTTGTATTCCTGTGTAATTTTACAACAATATAATTATTGGCGCGCACTCTCAATACCAAATATTGAGATGATGATTTGCCCTAAACTATCGATAAAAACAAGTAAAAAAGCTAAAGTCGCGTGTCCCGACTTTGAAATACTCTGTACATATCTTTACAATAATTATAGAAAATAAAAAAAATTAAGAAAATAAAAAAAAAATTTGATCGATTTTACCTCTCTTGGTATTCGAACTCACGTAAAGGGTTTATAATTGCACATTTACATAGCAATTGCGTCTGTGTGAGTGTATGTATGCCTATGCGCATCTATTCGTGTCTGTGTAAGCATTTTAGCAGTCAACCAAAGAGCAACATCAACAACAGCCGCGGGCAGCGCTTGAGCAGCGCTGCAGCAGCAAATATATTTATGGCTATAACTTCTCGTTAAATCGGTCTATCATAGTGAAACTTGGCATACGGACACATAATAACCAACTGGGAGTATTTCCCAGTTTTTTAGTCCCAATTTTTTTTTCCCCAATTTTAGTACGAAATTCCAAGAATTACGGGAGTTAGAGAAAATTGCGATTTGCGGTGGAGAAGGGGGAGGGAGGGAAATTCCAAAATATACATTTTCTGCGTATTCACAGAAGGCACCTGGGATAATTTGGTGTTCCTAGGTCTTATAGTCTCCGAGATATAGGCAATTATACGAATGGAAAATCGGGAAAACACCCATAGGGGGGAAGTGGGGGGGGGGATCAAAAAAATAAAACAAACTCGTACAGAATACACACATAACGCATCTTCGTGCAAAATTTGGTGTCTCTCTTTTATAGTCTCTGAGATCCAGGTGTTCATACGGACGGACAGACAGACAGACAGGGCTAGATCGACTCGTCTCGTCATGTTGATCAAGAATATATATACTTTGTGGGGTCTGCCATGCCTCCTTCTGCCTGTTCCATTTTTCAGCTCCCGCAAACCTAATATACTTCTGTACATTTCATGTACAGAGTAAAATAAAGATGAACCTGCCAGTTTTTATAGCCTGTACCCAAAGCGTGAAAGGCAATACTAGTTTTGTGCGCATGTATGTAACACACAGAAGAAGGCGTGGCAGACCCCACAAAGTATATATATTCTTGATCAGAGTGACAAGCCGAGTCGATATAGCCATGTCCGTCCGTCCGTCTGTATGAGCGCAAGGATCTCAGAAGGTACTAGAGCTAGAATAACCAAACTTGGTATCCAGATTCCCATAAGCCCTAGGCAGGTCAAGTTTATTTTTTTATTCTGATACACCCCCCACTCCCCCGCAATTCGTGTTTTTTTTTTCCTAACTCCCGTAGTAGTAAAATTAGGTAGCTAGATCCCGTTAGTGATTATGTGTCTGTATACCAAGTTTCATCATGATAGGTCAATTCTAAAGAAAGTTATAGCCATAAATAAAATCGTTGCTCATGCGCTGCCCGCAGCTGTTGTTGTTGTTGCTGCTTTGGTTCAACTTTATGCTGCATACATGCACGCATATAAACACGCATAGGTTCGTGATGTAAATGTATGCTGTTAAAACTGAACATAAACATGTATTCTTATTTAATTTAATTAATTCATTCATTCATTCATTTTTTTTAATAATTTTATTTTTTTTATTTTTTTAATTTTCCTTTTTTGTGGAGAGTACAGGCTATTTTACTGTCGGGCTTGCTCGGCTGTAGCGTTCTCTCTTGTTTTTTATAGTTTTTATGTGAGCGGTGGCAAAATTAAAAGCGGGAAAAAAGCTTAACACATTTCTAAAAAATCCAGAATATGCGCCTCCAGCAGAATCAAAATGAAGAAGAAGAGCGAACTTGTGGGCGTAGTGCGTTAAATTGTTTCGCTAATAACTTTTCCGACTTAACCGATTTAAATGAAATTTTAAACAAAAGTAGACATTTAAATATAACAAGAAAGGAATGCTAAGGTCGAGCAGGCTCAACTCTTAAATACCCTGTACCACCCCACAAAAAAGTAATTAAATTAATTAATTAATTTAATTAAATTAATTAATTAATTTAATTTAATTAATTAACTAAATTAATTTAATTTATTAACTAAATTAAATATAAAATATTCCATTCATGCATACATACATTTACATCAGAATCGTGCCTTATGCGTGTTTGTGTACTTGTACATATGTATGTATGTGTGCATTAGGCCTGGTTATATGGCTATAACTTTCTTTCCGATCATTCTATCATAATGAAACTTGGTATGCGGATATATAATGACTAACCTAATGTGACTACCAAATTTTAGTTCAAAAAATTCCAATAATTACGGGAGTTATAGAAAATCGTTAATAGGGGGGAGTGGGGGGTGGATCAGAAAAAATGAACAAACTCGTCCTTACCAAGTTTGGTTATTCTAGCTCTTATACTTTCGGAGATCCTTGCGTTCATACAGACAGACAGACGGACAGACGGACATGGCTATATCGACTCGGCTTGTCATGCTGATCAAGAATATATATACTTTGTGGGGTCTACCAAGTCTGTGTGTTCCATGTGCACTCGCACAAAACTAATATACCCTTGTACCCTTTGGGTACAGGGTATAAAAATAACGTGCACAAAGTTTGGTTTATGTAGGTTTGAAAATGTAGATAGTATTGGTGAAATTCTGTAGAGAAAATAAAAAAAAAAACAAAATAAACTCGTTTAGACTAGGGACTAGGAGTGTTTACATACCAAGTTTGGTTAATGTACGCTCAGGCGTTCATCCAGACAGATTTCTCTCGTCGTGATAATTCAGATATTTCATCTCCAAAACATCGATTTATCGAATTTTGAACATTTGGGCTTACGAAAGGTGTGTGTACGGTTTGTTCCGCACAAATTGACTGACGACCGAAAATTGCATTTTAACCATTAACCACTCGCCGTATTCACCTGATATGGCACCGTGCGACTTCTACCTTTTCGGAAAAATGCATTTGCCCATGAAAGGAAAGCGTTATGCAGACGTAGAGGCCATTCAAAAGGATTGCACCGGCATACTGGCGGCCATACCGGCCAACGAGCTAAATAGCTGTATTGAAGCAGAAGGAGACTATTTTGAATAAAATAAATTGATTTTGCTGAAAAAACCATATGGTCTGTTTTTTTTAAGTCCTGTTTACTTTGGAACACACCTTGCATTCCGTATAGACTCCGAAACCGCTCAACCGATATTGCTCAAATTTTGTGGCAATATTCAATGGGGAATCCTGTGAAGTAACGTTGCGATTGGTAAACACAATCAACCATCGTTTTCTGGCTTATTTCTGCTCATTTTAATATGTTTGACAGTCACATTTTACTGTTTCTCAGTGTTTCATTCGTAAATAAATAAAATTGTAAAATCTAATTCTAAATCTAATCTAATCCTCCCTTAAAAGACGCCTCTTTTATCCGGACACTCTCTTTGGCGGACACTTTTTCTAAAAACATTCGATCGGTGTATAATGTATTTATGTTCCCCGTTAAGCGGACACTCCCCTTGGGTGGACAAAAATTGGCCGGCCGTGAGTGTCCGGCCACTGTAAAAAAATGCAGCTGAAAATGCCGATGAGCGCGAATAACGTTTGCAAGATCTTTGCGAAAGGGCATCTACGTATAGAGCCAAAGAAACGGAACAAGAATGGAAGTTGTGGCTTTGGCAAATGCGCGAAAGGGCATCCACATCTGATCTAAGAAACACCAAGGGGGCGATGGACATCCTTTGTACACACGACAAAAGGTGGGCGACAGTGGGTACTCAATCAAGGACGTAATCGAAGCCATAAAAAGCAAAGGACGTATTGAGAAAGATGTGACTTTGGAAAGATTAAAAAGCACTAAAATTCAGTGGCGCAGCAACGCAAGCCGGAAACGCTAGTACATACATTTTTTATTTTATATAGAGACATATGTTTACGTATGATGAAACTTGACATACGGCCACATAATCACTAACGGGATGTAATTACCAATATTTGAGTTCAAAATTCCAAAAATATGAAAAATCGTGAATAGCGGGGGAATAGGGGGTGCATCTGAAAAAAAAACACAAACTCGTTGTGCCTCGAACTAAGGTTTAAGTTTGGTTATTCTAGCTCTTATACTTTTTGAGATCCTTGAGTTCGTAGAGACGGACATGGCTATATCGACTCGTCTGGGGTCTGCCACGCCTCCTTCTGTGTGTTACATACATTCGCACGAAACTAGCATACCCTTTCACACTTTGGGTACAGGGTATAAGAATCAGCCAAACAAATCGCGCATAAATTGAATATTCGCTCAAAAGTATGCTACGCAAAACTTATACGGCTACTGGAGAGCCATAATTTGACTGGCCACAAAAGCAACCCCCAAGCTCATGCCCCATAATAGTCAACACGTTTGTTGTAGGCAGAGTTGTGTGTGAAGAGAAGAAGGGTGCAGGTGGGCACGAATCAGTTGGCTTTTTGTCATAATTTGCACTAGACAATTTGCACAAGGCAATTTGCACAAATACAAGCACAATCATACGAATACAAGCAAACATATACGTGTATAAACATATATGCTATAAGTATGTGTACACACGCACACACATAGCGACTTTCCGCTCTGTAGCTGAACATGAATGCGCGGAATAGCTTACGTTCTCGCGTACGCAAGTTCGTACGCAGCAAGGTCACTGGAAAAATCGTTAAGAACAAAAAATACAAATGCCATCAGCAGCAGCAACAGTAGCGAATGTGTCGATACTGGTGCGCTGTTGTTTGTGTTAGTTAGTATACACATATATATCAGTCTGCCAGGCTGAGAGAAATTGGCCTGGTTTGCCTTTGTTAGGGTTTCCTCATTGCTCTCAAGGAAAAATACACGAAAATGCGCCTTAAAATTAATTTGATATTAATGCATTCAACTCACCAACTTTATTTAATGTTCGATTCTTAACCCCGTGCTCTCAATTTGGCAGCATTTTAGTATATTAAATTAGCGTTTCTTCTCTTGCTGCTCACGCAATTGTTGCTCTTGCTATCCTTGCTTTAATTTGTGTAGCTGGAGCTTACATAGCTGATACAAAACGTAGGTTCAACATACACACACAATTAAAAAAAATGTTCAACTATTTACAAAGACGCGTTTCTATACTTTTCTATGCTTCTCCCTTTGATTTCATGCTACAGTTCTCCTTTCTCATCTTTTAAGGTGTGTGTAGCTACGGTTTTAAACTTCTACGTACGGCTGTTATTGCTACAGCTTTCTGAGCACAATTTGACTATGATTTCTGCGATTTTGTGTTTTTTTTTCGGACTGTCAGGCAATGCGACTTCCCTGCATGCTATACGTGGTGCGACTGATAACATGCCAGTACATAATGGCCGTCCATGGATTGTCGCAAATCGCAGTCACTGTCGTCGCGACACTTCATTAATACATGATTCAGTGTACCATTTGTGGTGAGTTCATTTGAAACGGCCCTCAGTTCACCACACCCACATTTGCACCATTTTATATACCCTGTACCTGAAATTTGAAATGGTACAATGAAATCGTTCAGTGTAACACCCAGAAACTAATAAGACAAGCCAGCCTGGACATGGAAACCGCATATTTCTAATATTTTTGGTGAGTCCTCCCTTTGCTACAATGTGGTATGGGGTGAAATAGTACTTTTGCATATATTTATATATACATATGTATGTATGTAGTACATAATACATACAACATCGAATAGAATGAAAACTAACAGTTTTACATTTAGTGTAGTGCGAATGTTTGGAACACACAGAAGGAGATCAGACAAAACGTGCCAATATAGCTACGTCCGTCTGTATGAACTCAAATATCTCATGAAGTATGTATAAGAATAAGGAGTTACACAGATACACCTCCAATTTAACAAAAACAAAACATGTATTATAACTGTATGTATTCGTATTCGTGGATCATCATAAACGAAGTGAACGAGCCCGATGTTTTCGTAACAAACCAATCATGCCCTAAGCGGAAAAAGAATAGTGGCTCCTTTATGAACGATAAACAAATATTGCTCGATCATACAAGTTGCAGGCGATTACGGAATTTATGTGATTGATTTTTTGACAAAGGTGAAACAACATACCCGTTACAGCTGTCTAACCAATCATGCATATGTACAAGTATGTATAAGCTCGCAGAGATTTGATTATGATGTAAATGCATGCTGTTGAAACTACATATACATGAACATGTCTCCACCTTTGTATATACATATGTATTGAATAATTTGTATTTAATTTAATTAATTAAAGTTAATTTTTTTATGTGGGAGGTTCAGGGTATTTAAGAGTTAAACTCGCTCAACTTTAACATTCGGTTAGTGCTTATGTGTCCTCACGTCAAGATTTCGCGACACGAGCAATTGTAAAAAGTTATGACCACAAATGTATCTCCCCATGTTGCTGCTGCCTTGTCTCATCTAGGTTCTGCACAATTATGTATGTATGTATGCACATACACTTAGGCACACATCGACACAATTCCGATATTAATGTATGCTGTATAAACTATGAATAAACATACATACATACATGCTATGTATGTATGTATGCATGACTCTACGTACTTGATATAATTAATTGTATTAATTAAGCTCAAACAATTCAATTATAAAAACAATTTTAACATGAATTTTTTTGTGAAAGTGGGTGTAGGTAATTATTACTTTAACTGTACATACATATGTACATATGCATGTCTAATACAAGTACATTAGAAGTTTCTTCATCTTAAATTTTGATCCACCAATTGGTTCAAATAAGCTGGGAGACAGTGTATGTCTGTACATACAGTTAGATTATTAAAAGAAATACCGAATTATAAAACCATATATAATAGCATATATTCCAATTTCATATTTTATTTATTTTAAATAATAGCTAGTTAAAGGTATCCTTGGAAGCAGTGAAATCAGTCTGTCTGGGTTGCAGACTAGGCCAGATGATTTTGGTGAGGAAATATTTGTGGTGAATTTGCTGTGCTTGTTGGAAACGAGCAAAGTGCTTGCCTTCACTTTCCATGCCGCACACAACTTGTTGGATTTGCATGACGCACTCTGCGCAAGACAACGATGCTCTTTTTAGCCGAATGCTTCCAGCGGAGCGTACACTAGCGGAGCGTTGCTGGACATCGATTAATTTAGCAGCGTTAACAGGAAAGCCAACACGAGGCGACTGTCACAGAGCGTGGAAGCGCATGATCTCATCGAAATTAAAAGCGTTAAAGTTTTCACAAATCATGTGGTTTTTAATCTGCAGCCATTACATATTTTTGAAAGTTAACAACCTACAGTAAACTGTAAAAAAAACTTTGTATTTGATAAAATGTTACAAAAATGTATGCAACATATAAACGGTAAACAAGGAAAAACCATAAATTTGCATACCCAAGCAAGTCCACTCTAAAAAATAATTACCATACTTCCCAGGGTATGCAATATTAAAAACTACACATTATGTGCTATGTGCCAAGCTTAGAATTAGGGAGGACACAAATTACAGCCAAAGCTGCAAACCGCGTTGATAAATGCACATTCGTACCGGCACATGGTCACGCTAGCGTTAGCATTAAAATAAAGTAGCACAACTATAGAAGTTGTTATTATTAAATAAATTGTAAATAAATGCAACATAACAGCCTTCTCCGTAAATGGGATCTCAAAATTGAGGCATCTAGTGCAGTAAAAAGAGTGCGGGATTCTCTAAATACTGCTTCCACACGTTAGAGAACCTTGCCATAGTGACGCCATCGATAATACGATGATCTGCCGACCAGCTTATACTCATAACCTGAGCTTTGACAATTTCATTCTTTGCATTAAAACGTGGTACAACTTTGGTGCGTCCCATGGCGCCAATTGCCACTTGTGGTGGCATAATACAGGGATGCGTATAGGTGCCGCCCACCTGAAAGCGAACATAAACGAACATAAATCTCAAAAATTGCTCGCTCATACTTACAATGCCAATATTGGATAGCGAAAAGGTTCCGTCCGCAAAGTCTGTTGGCGTAAGAGTTCCTGAGCGTCCACGTGCCACCAACTCGTTTAAGTCAATAGCGATTTCGACAATATTCTTTAACTGACAATTCTTAATGTTAGGCACTACAAGACCCTGCGGTGTATCAATGGCTACACTAATGTTGTGCGCATTCTTGTACACAACAGACTCGTTAACCAGATCCAGTGAGCTGTTAATAATCGGATACTTGGTCAGTGCAATCGAGGCTGCCTTGATGCAGAAGGGCATGAAGGTCAGCTTAGGCACATCACTCTGATGAGCAAAAGATTGCAATTGTTCACGGAACATGACCAAGTTGGTCATGTCGACCTCATCGCTGTAGGCAAAGTGCGGAATATTCTACAAGAGCGTAATTGGTCATGCAACTGATTGGATACCACTAATAACAGTATAATTACCAATGATTCTGACATGGTTTTTAGCATGGCCTTGCGTACGCCCTTTAGAATTTCAACACGATCCGCTGCATTATTGTTGACAGCTGGCTTGGGAAGCGCACTTTTTTTTGCAATTGTGGGATGTGGAATGTTTGTGCCAGATGGCACATGTCCAAGATACTCCAGTACGTCGCCTTTAAGAACGCGGCCATTACGACCCGTTGGCGGAACCTGCGACAAGTCCACCTTGTTTTCCATGGCTATACGGCGGACCGCAGGCGTTGCTGGTACAATAAGGCGACTTCGTGAAGCATTTGCCAATAAAACCGGCTGGCTTTCTGTCGAATGTATTTGCGGCTGCTCCGAATCGGAGGAATCGGAGCTGTCGCTCTCTTCATTCGGCACATCAAAATCAAGCAACGGTTTGCCAACGAGTGCTATATCATCAATGCTATGATAGATTTTTGTTATTTTTCCATCATAGCGACTGGTGATCGTCACCGATGCCTTGTCCGACTGTACCTCGCAAAGATTATCGAATTGCTCAACCGTGTCTCCAACTTTAACGAACCTGGGGACAGGTATGCATAACAAAGTGGATATGTACATATAAATTTGAACCCATCTCACCATTCTTTGACGGTTACCTCGCGTATACCTTCACCAATGTCGCTGAGATTGAAGGATACTATTTTTTGCAGGGAGGCAGTAACATGCAAACCACGAAGTTTTTGTGCCATCTGTATTTAAAGTTTGTGTTTTTTAATGCAATTGTTCAGATGCGCGCGAACCATTGAAATCTGGCAACAATAATCTCAATAAAATAATCGCGCGCTCTCTTTCGCACAACGGAGATATCTTGCTCTTACACTTCCAACAATTGGTGGTTATGTAATAAAATTGAAAAACTTTGCTGTCAAAATCCAATGGCTTAGCGAGTTTCTTAGAGAATTTCGACATGTGATCTAAGCTTTGCTCCTCCTTTACTCACTACTAGTTGACGCGACCGATAGGTCCTAAGCAGCCAGCTTATGGCGCTGTTTCTAATAAAATGTGTGGCCATTTAGGGATAAATTATACGTGGTTGCAAGAAATAACTGAAACATGCAAAATAGTACTTTAAATTTCAGATTTGATTTTTAGCAGCTTAAATACCTTAATACTACAGTTAACAGTGTCCGCCTGTCGTCACGCAAATTGCACATTCGACTGACCCAAACTCACAGGCTTATCATTTATTTACTGAACTATACTTGTACGTCAGCTGTTTTCTGTAGTAAGATCTACGAGCGCCACCTGGCATGTATATCATTCAAACATCGATATCGACAATAACTCTACCGGCAAAATGTCGATGTATCCCATCGAAGAAAACATCGAAGTTTTTCTCACTTGAAAATCCCAAGTCAACTATCGGGAATGTCCGCAACTAAATCGAAAACGAAAAATGAAAACCTGTCGATAATAGTAACATCGATAGCTATCATGCTCTAAAGTTTTATGAAAAAACGATGTATGTCGGGCATTCCTATCGTGAACTTGAATTTACAATTACAATTCCGATAAAAAATAATTGTGAAATATATTTTAAGAACTTGCGTTTTATTATATAAACCAAGGCTAGGAAAATCGAGATTGAAAGCTACAGCTTGCCTTACTGTCTTTATTTCTGTACATAATTAGTGTGCACTCGTAAACTTGAATTTACAATTACAGTTCTGATTAAGATAATTGTGAAATAAGAACCAGGGTTTTATTATATAAACAAAGGCCATCAAGAGGAAAGGGCCATTTCTTTGCTATTCATACCGCTTTAGTTATTTGGTCTTAGTCAACAAAAAACCTTTTATATTGCGAACATGGGCAGTGTAACATCAAAAGGAGTCGCTCAGGCCGCAGCTGCACCTAGTGGAATTGTAGCCGCCGAGAAACCAAAGTGCAAGGCTTGTTGTGCCTGTCCCGAAACGAAGCGCGCACGTGACCAATGGTGAGCCGTAGTGGCTGCAACTGCTTTATGAATGTATGACGCAACATTACTGATTATGGTATTTCCTGTTTTTTTATAGCATTGTGGAGCGTGGGGAAGAGAACTGCAGCACGCTAATCGAAGCACACAAGAAGTGTATGCGCGATGCTGGCTTCAACATCTAAATGGCTACGAAATGTACCGGCCGGCAGGCCGGCCGCGTGAACACTATGCTCCCAGTACTTAAATACGGCGGACACGAACATAGACGAAAAGCTTAGCAAACTTCAACACCCTTAGGATGGAAGAAGCTTGGAACTTTTCCGCCGATCAAAAAGTACATGATAGTTCCCAATCTCAACTTATTTGTTTTTGTTGTTTGTTATGCTAATTTAGTGTTAAATGAATGAACGAGCAAATTACCAAAATTGTTCCACAACCAAAAACTTTATTGACATAAGACTTAAGAATCAGATGAAACTCAGAGTGCGAAGTGCGACAACGAAGGCCATGTAGAAGGTGATGAGCAACATTGTAGCAAATGCGATGATCCGCGCTGGCTGAGGGATCGGATATATGGCATAAACTAACGTGTGAATAAACCGCGCTATTGCAGCCACTCTGAACAAATTGCACGCTACAACCTGACTGGGATTTGTACATATGTACATCAAGGCCATGATGAAGTACGGTAGGATGTTCTCCAAATCATTACGATGGGCCCTACGTAAAAAGGAGCAATTAGTTCATGTTCGCATGTAAGCTGATTAACTCACCTGCGCACACGCTCGACATGTGGATCATCAAATTGCACTTCAACGTTTTTAAAAAACAAGTCTTCATGATTGGGGAAAATCTGGAATGGCAAGGTATATCAATATAAACTGTTCCATTATTTAAAGTCAAGCGACGGGTTGCTCTTTTTTCTTACGTCGCAATGTCAATATGGTACTAGGTCCAGTATTTGGATATGATATGAATGATTCAATGCTTATGAGCTAATGCCCTTACCTTGTAGCGGAAACGTTGCAACGCCGTCAGTAGTGACATGAAGAGCATCTTAACCACTAGCGCCGTTGCCCAGAAGAGGTAGCAACAGAAGATAGGATTATCAACCGTCAGGAAGTTGCTGGCTTTCACTACCGCCGTTATTGTAGCATTCATTGTTTGAGTTGACATTTCAACAAAAATTCAACTTTTGTATGTTTTTGCGTTCCGTGCTGTTTAAGTTTATTTTGTCGAGTGACCCGTTCATTTAGTTAACTTCAACCAGTTAGTCAATAAGTTAGACGGGTGGTTTAAGCACCTAACAATGAAACAAGCTAAACTGGTTTCGAATTGCGTCTGTGGTATTGACTGCGGTAGTGTTATATTTTATTACAGTATTTTTGTATGCGAAGTTCCACTTAAAACTTAAACTTCTAGAGGAAAAGTGCAAGGGCGGCATTAAACTAAGCAAGAACTTAGACAGCATACATGACAAAGACTCATTCCAAAAATTCGCAACAGCATATATTTATATCATGTTATTCGACGATGGATGATTCTTTCGGGCGGTTGCTTCTACAAGATAGGTTTATGTAATTAGTTTCATCAAAATATTTAAAAACTGACGAGACGAATCGATATGGCCATGTCCGTCTGTTCGCCTATCTGGATGAATGCATAGATTTTGGAGACGGATAAGCTCACATTCGCCAAATTTGGTATGTAGACTCTCCTAATATAAAGGCAACACGAGTTTATACTATTTTTTATTTTCCCCCTCCACCCTCAGTACTACGCCCACAAACTGCAGGAGGTGGTTCGGACTTCTGTTTTCTGCCGCTGTGGGCGCATATAACTTAGCGCCGGAAGTTTGTTTTGGGGTATTTCACTGTTGGTGCAAGCAAGAATGTACCGTTCTCTCTAGTTAGATATACAGATTTTTAAGGAAATATTTAGTTTTGTGCGAACGTATGAAACACACGGAAGGAGGCGTAGCAGACCCCACAAAGTATATACATATGTATATTATTGATTCCTTGGAGATTCGCACTCACCTGCATATTTACATCGAAATTGTATCTATGCGTATGCGTGGCTTTGTGTACATATGTATGTATGTACATATAAGTCATCCGTGTACAAATTTGATGTCTCTAGCTTTTATAGTCTTTGAGATATACATATGTATGTACATATGTACAAACGTGCTCATACGGACAGACAGACAGGGCTAAATCGACTCGTATTGTCATGCTGGTCTGCCACGCCTCCTAATGGCTATAATATATTGTTTTATTTGCATAATATACTCTTTTGCCCCTTAGGTACAGAGTATGAAACACGAAAGGAAAGGTAGAGTAGAGTGCGCTCTACTCTTCAATAGTGAATCTGAAGAGAAGTGAGACTTTGTTGAGAGAATCTGGAATGCTGGATCGGCAACGTTTTCTGTGACAAAACTACTTGCACAGTAATAGTCGCACATAAATGAACAGCAAGTAGACCAGCTGGTGAAATTGAAATTATGAATGGAAACAAAAATCAAGAATCAACAAATGCATATTTTCAATCGGTTAAAAGTATTCAATCTTCAGATCTCTAGTACTGTCAATAAGGCCAAGGGCTTACTTTTTTTTAAAAATTATACTGTTACAAATATACCTTAAATTAAACTTATAGTTAAATACAACTTAAGCTAGGTGTTCAGTCTTAATTACAATTTAACATTTATCATTTTCTAGGATAAATTTTAAATTCCTTTCTTGTTTTGTCACGAAGTTTGGAGAAGCGTGTTATATTGGACTTATGGAAAAGAATATATCAACTTAATCTGCCTACAGCAGGGGTGGGCACCAAATTTTAAATCGGGAGTCCTGCAACAAAAATCACCGGTACAGTACGACACATATACTACGTGTATTTTGTTTTTGCATCAATTTGCTTGTGCTTCTGGCTGGCGACAACTGCATGTGTTTTGTTTTTGTAAGTTCGCTCGCGATCGATCTTTTGGTTGTACGTCTGGGTGGCGCCACTTATCAAAAAGTAACGGAACAAATTTGGTTATACTAGCTCTTGCACTTCCTGAGATCCTTTCTTCCATACAGATGTACTGTTAATAGACAGGCTTTGTGGTGTTGTCCAAGATCCATGATTAACAATCTGGATTATTTTTTAATTATATTTTTCTCTCCACATGTGGGATTACATATGTACATATATTGAATGCGCATATGCCTAGTATGTAATTTTGTTGTCCTGCATGTGTCATTTGGACTTGAGTTGGTTGGTTAATTCACCAAAGTGACGTTTAAATTTAGTGTAACCAAATTAATAACTTGCATTTACATTCGGCTACAATTTAAATCAGCGGTGGGCACGTAGTGCCTCTTTTGGCTCCATGTGCTCTTTACGCTATGTTTTGGAAGTGGCGCCAGCTAGACGCTCAGTAGATTGATGCGAAAAGAACATTTTCAGTAGGATTTACTCATAGCTCTACCGGTGAATCTACTCTGTACATGAAATGTATATGTATTAGGTTTGCGGGAAGTGAAAAATGTAACAGGCAGAAGGGGGCGTGGCAGATCCTACAAAGTATATACATATGTATATTCTTGTTTAGCATGACAAGACGAGTCGATCTATGTCTGTCTGTCCGTCCGTCCGTATAAGAGATAGAGACACCAAATTTAGCACAAAGTTGCCTTATGTGTGTACGCTATACGAGTTTGTTTTATTTTTTTTATTCCCCCCACTTCCCCGCTATGGTGGTTTTTCCGAAACGTCGTTCGTAAATTCGCCTATATCTCGGAGGCTATAAGAGCTAGGACATCAAATTGAAAGTCAAATTCATAATCGGGACACCCGACTTTAGCTTCCCTACTTGTCATACCCTGTACCCAAAGGGTACAAGGGTATATTAGTTTTGTGCGAGTGTACATGGAACACACAGAAGGAGGCGTGGTAGACCCCACAAAGTATATATATTCTTGATCAGCATGACAAGCCGAGTCGATGTCCGTCTGTCTGTATGAACGCAAGGATCTCAGAAATTATAAGAGCTAGAATAACCAAACTTGGAATACCGATTCTCCTGAGCCCGAGAAAGGACGAGTTTGTTCATTTTTGCCGATGCACCCCCCACTCCCTATTCATGATTTTCTATAACTCCCGTAATTCTTGGAATTTTGAACTAAAATTTGGTAGACACATCCAGTTAGTGATTATGTATCCATTATGTATGCCAAGTTTTATTATGATAGGTTGATCAGAAAGAAAGTTATAGCCATATAACCAGACCCAATGCACACATACATACATATGTATGTATGTACAAGTACACAAACACGCATAGACACGATTCTTAAATTAATTAATTAATTTAATTTCTGCTTTTGTGGGGTGCTACAGGGTATTTAATTAATTAAATTGTGTTTAATAATTTTTTTTTTGTGGTACAGGGTATTTAAGAGTTGAGCCCGTTCGACTTAAGCATTCCTTTCTTGTTTTATATTTTTAATATTGTCCACAATTCCAAAGCTATATGAACTTGCTACTGTTGTTTAAACTTTTATCAAAATCGCTAAATTCTAAGAAAAGTTATTAGCGAAAAAATAGTACTCCAGTATTAAGCCTACAAATTGCAGCACCCAGTCCGCTCTTTTTCTTGTTTGGGTACATGGTACTTTATTTCGGGCTTGGTCGACGGTACCCCGTTCTATTTTGTTTAATTTCGCTGGCCCGTCACAATAAGCTCCGCATAAACCACGTACGAGTGAGGGAGCGCGCTAAATTTACATGCTCTGTTTTTCCAACTGCGGCTGGTATTTAATTTTTGTTTCTATCAATAATGGGCAAAAGTGCATATTCCGACTGAATAACAACATTTTTGAATTCAACTGTTTTTATTGTACAATATAGGACAATATCCTACCTTGTAGCTCCTTTATATCAGGGTATTGGGCTGATCTTGCACTTGTTTCTCAAAAGTGGTTGTAGAACCACACTAATTTGTAGAAATTACCTTTGTTAAATAATATGCTGTCATGCCCTCGCGTCCCTCATGGCGCTGACCCTTTGTAAGGGTAAGGGACTAATCTGCTCTACCAGCAGGCGCTTCGAACTGTGAATGGCCAAAATGCATTGTGGGTACTGATGAGGATCTTCGATGCCCGTGTGCCAGTGGTTAAATGCTAAACACACTAGCAAATAGATGTCCCGCTCTAGCATCTTGTGACAGCCGACGAAGCCTCGTACCTGTTTTGAAATTGATACCGTATAAATGGAAAATGGAAGTAATTAAATCAGTTGTGCCGAAATATATAGTGTGGTGTTGTAGATAATTTAGTCAAAAATTAAATGTTTTATATACCCCAATACACTCTTGATACCAATCTAAATATGAAAGGTAAGAGTCAGCGGGCTCAGCTCTTAAATACCCTGTACCAACTCTCACAAAAAAGAAACAAAATTTAAAAAAAAAAAGAAAGGAGAGAACAAATAAAATAAACTCGTGTAGCCTAGGGACTAGGAGCATCCACACATTAAGTCTAGTTAGTATGCGCTCAGCCGTTTTCGAAATCCAGGCGTTCATCCAGACGGATCCTGCTGATCAAGAGTATATATACTTTATGGGGTCGGAGATACTTCCTTCTGCCTGTTACATACTTTACACAAGCTGTTCACTAGTGAACATAGATTTATGAATAGCAGGATACAGGCTATTTAAGAGTTGAGCCTGCTCGACTTTTGCATTCCTTTCTTGTTTTTGTTGTGGGTGGGTTGTAGTGCTCCCGATTAAAAATTTTGGCCCCACCGCTGATTTAAATGAGAAGAGAAGGGAAGAAAATAAAGAGCAAAGCAACAATGAGTGTCGTGTGTACTAGAACTCTCGATCAGCAAGACCGCGTGAAGCAATTGGTCGAATCGTATGTTTTTTGCTATACTTGACAACTAGATTAAGCTACAGCGCCGCTCTATAGAGGGTATAGAGGTCACACCCCATTCAGTACCGAAACGATTGGGGGAGGCGCCAATGCAAACAAACTTTCAATTGAGGCACTTTATAATTTCAGTATAATGTCGCCCGACATAGCACTTGCATACATACATACATATGTATGTATAAATGCATGTATTTATATGCATACATATGTACATGTATGTGTGTACATAAGTACGGTATGTATATGGATACTTGAATTACTAATGCATACATACATATATACATACATATGTATGCATATTATAGTATGACAGGGACGCATTTTTGTTATGTCTGTTGATATGTACGAGTATGCATGTACATACATACATAACAATCGCGACCTATGATCCGCTTTTGTGTTTTTTTGATAAGTCAGTGTACATTTGTGCCGTTGCTTCAGTCTCGACTTCAAGCTATGGCTGCAGCCTGACGCTCAGTTGCACTTAGGCAATGGCGCGATCGTTACGGCGTCATTCTCGGCCGCAGCGGACAATAACAGTTCATAAATGTACATACATATGTACATACTCTGTGGAACTATTTGTGTCGTACAGAATGCTGCGTATACATTGTGATCTCAGTTATTTATGTACTTACATACATATGTATGCACATACATTCATTCATACATACATACATATGTACATTTATACATATGTATGTACATATATTCCTATCGAAAAGTAGACTGCGTCCAAAGTTCAGTTGTGGTTACCGCAACTAAATTGTGACTAAGCAGCGACAAACTCAACGATGCCTACCTCTATTGGCATAATGTGCGACGTCGTATGTATATATGTATGTATGTATGCACGTATGTATGTATGTATGTACATACATATGTAAGTTTTGCCCGTCTTTCTTGGGCTAAGGTTTTTTGAGTGCAATTATAAGTATATTTATTTATGTATGTATACATTTTTTTATCCAACATTGTGCTCATTTTCAGAGAAGAGTCTTTAGCAAATTACTTTTCTAGGTACCGAAAACTAGGGCATACGCAATAACAAGAACAACAAAAAGATAAACAATGTTTTTGTAGCCTGTACCCAATAGGTAAAAGGCTAAATTAGTGCCGTTGCACAGTTGAATGTACTTATGTATATAACACACAGAAGGAGGCGTGGCAAATCCCACAAAGTATGACAGTGACAAAACGAGTCGATATAGCCATATCTGTCCGTTTGGATAGACGCAAGGATCTCAGCAAGTACAAAAGCTAAAATAACCAAACTTGGCATCGAGGTTCCCCTAAGTCCCAGGCATATCGAGTTTGGTATTTTTTTCTGGTATATCCCCCACTTCCATAACTGCCGCAATTCTTGGAATTTTTGATTTACATTTAGCAAATACCTCCAGTTAGTGATTTTGAGTCCGTATGCCTATATTATAGGCCGTTCATAAAGAAAGGTTTAGCCATATATTTAATCTCTTCCCAAGCGCTGCCCACAGCTGTTTTTGTTGTTACTGCTTTGGTTCAATTTTGTACACTCGTACAAACACGCACAGACAGGATCCTGATGTAAATGTATGCTGTTAAAACTGTACATAAAGATAGGTCTCCACTTTTGTATGTATGTATTGAATAATTAATATTTAATTAATTTTTTAAACATTTATTTCACAAATAATAAAAAAATGTTTTTTGTCTCTTTTGGGGGAGTGCCTACAGGGTAGCAGGACTGTAGCATTCTTTCTTGTTTTCGATTAGTACTAAAGAAAATGAAATATTGTATTTTCAGGAACTGTATAAGTTGCGACGGTCCCAGTCCTTCTTCACCCCCGTATCTTACAGTGGTAGCCCCCTGAAAGCAAATCGGACAGTGAAATACCCTGTACCCAAACAACAACTTCCGGCTCTGAGTTTTATCGCCAGTATCAGTTTGTGGGCGTAGTACTGGAGTGAAATTGTGTCGCTGATAACATTTCTAAGAATAAAAAAACAAGTAAAAAAGCTAAAGTCGGGTGTCCCGACTTTGAAATACTCTGTACATATGTTTACTAATTAAAAAAATTTACTAGAAAAAAAAAAAGAAAATTTAAAAAAATTTGATCGATTTTACCTTTCTCGGCATTCGAACTCACGTAAAGGGTGTATAATTGCACATTTACATAGCAATTGCGTCTGTGTGAGTGTATGTATGCCTATGCGCATCTATTCGTGTCTGTGTAAGCATTTTCGCAGTCAACCAAACAGCAACATCAACAACAGCCGCGGGCAGCGCTTGAGCAGCGCTGCAGCAGCAAATATATTTATGGCTATAACTTCTTGGTAAATCGGTCTATCATAGTGAAACTTGACACACGGACACATAATAACCAACTGGGGGTATTTCCAAGTTTTAGTTCGAAATTCCAAGAATTACGGGAGTTAGAGAAAATCGCATTTGCGGGGGAGAGGGGGGAGGTAGGGAAATTCCAAAATATATATTTTCTGCGTATTCACACAAGGCATCTGGGACTAAAATTTGGTGTTCCTAGGTCTTATGGTCTCCGAGATATAGGCGATTATACGAATGGAAAATCGGGAAAACCCCCATAGGGGGGAAGTGGGGGGGAAAATCAAAAAAATAAAACAAACTCGTATAGAATACACACATAACGCATCTTTGTGCAAAATTTGGTGTCTCTATCTCTTATAGTCTCTGAGATCCAGGTGTTCATACGGACGGACAGACAGACAGGGCTATATCGACTCGTCACGCTGATCAATAATATATATACTTTGTGGGGTCTGCCACGCCTCCTTCTGCCTGTTACATTTTTCAGCTCCCACAAACCTATTATACTCTTGTACATTTCATGTACAGAGTATAAAAACTTGACCGATTATACCTCCTTTGGGATTTGAACTCATGTAAAGCGTGTATGACTGCACATTTGCATCGGCATTGTAAATAAGCGTGCCTGTGTGTGAGTATGTGTGCAATATAAAGTTCAGCCAAACCAACAAAAACAGCTGCTGGCAAAGATTATATTTATGGCTATAACTTCCATTCAAATCATAGTAAAACGGTATACGGAAGCATAATCACTAACTTGAGGTATTTGCCAAATTCGATCACCTAATTGAGGGTAGTGGCGGAAGGCCGGAATGTTTTGAAATACACATGCACTTCCTATTCATACCATCTTGGACTAAAATTTGATGTATGCATGTATCTATCCAGGTGTTCATACGGACGCACAGACAGACAGGGCTATATCGACTCGTCTTGTCATGCTGAGCAAGAATACATTTACATATGTAGTATGTACATACTTACACTGTTACAGAGTACAGAGTATAAAAATAATTAATAAGATCAAAAATACATAATATGTACATAGAGTCGTACAGATTCAATAGAATACAATTACGTCAATATTGTATATATGTGCGTTTATGTGTAACAACAACAAAAATTGCGAAAAACTATGGCTATAACTTCCTTTACATTTAATCTATCATATTGATTAAACTTAATTAATAATCATTAACGGGATGTATTTTTCAAAATCGGTGACAGAGGAAAGAAAACAAAAGGTCATCCTTTCTCGGACTTAGGGGGATCTGGATACCAAGTTTGGTTATTTTAGCTCTTATACTTTCTGTGATAATTGCTTTCATACAGACAAATGGACGAGCGGACGAACATAGCTACATATCGACTCAACTTGTCATCCTGATCAATAATATACATATGTATATACCAAATACCTCCAGTTAGTTATGAGTCTATATGCAAAGTTTCATTGCGATAGGTCAATTATGAAGGAAGTTATAGCCATAAATATATTATCTGCCCATGCTCTGCCCGCACCTGTTGTTGTTGGTGCTTTGACATAATTATGTATGTGATGCACACATACATACATACATATGTACAAGTACACAAACACGCATAGACTTGGTTCTGATGTAAATGTATGTATGTATGTTATTAATTAATTAAATATTTTTAAAATTAATTTTATTATTTTTTCAGGGTGGTAGCTTTAGCATTCCTTTCTTGTTATTCATTGTACTCTCAATGAACTTCATCTTTCCGATACCCGCTGCAGGCATTCAAGCCATACCCATGACGCTGCCACCGCCATCTTTGACTGTTGCTTTTAAATTTTTGTCTTCGAGCTCTGTATTAGCTATACGCCAGAAGTATGGCTGCCCATCAGAGCCGAAAATATTATTAGAGCGTTATTTTCGCTGCTGAGTCAAAATTTAATATTTTTGTTGATATCTCTTTTCGTTTAAAAGTTATACTCATTTAAAATTTGTATAGACTGAAATTGTTTCGAATAAGTTGTAGGCCGCTGTACATTTTCTGAGTTCCTACTGTTTGTTATATACATATGTATGTTTGTACATACATATGTATGTACATTCGCATCCTTTTACCCCTTGGGTACAGGGTAGGTTTAGCTGAAGCTAGTTATTAGAGATTAGCTAGCATAAACGTAAGTTGTATATATATAATAGGTCAACGATTTCGAAATCATACTGTTATTCGAATTTCATGCAACATATGCATGCAACAAGCCCCCCGTGTATATTAAAAAGTAGCTACGCAGCAAAAAAAAAAACGATCTAAGAACTAGGGATGTAAAAGAACATCGATGCTTCAAACATCGACGATGTTTTGAACTCGTATCGATGTTTTCTGATTGCGATGCATCGCTAAAAAAGATCTTTCTATTCTCTATGTTTTTATTTAATTGTATATTTTATGATATATGATTCTCTACTATTGTGAAGCATTTGATCTCCTCTTTGAATTGGATATAATTAATATTTTTTGGTTTAAAATTTATGGTTATAGCTATGCTTAATATTACGCATTTGTATGCGTTTTGGTTTTCCCTCTAATATGAGACTATTACGCAAGGCTGATCAGTGTTATTTTATGTGTGTTATTTATGATAATGTCACAATGTATGTAAAACGCATGCATGTACATATGTATATACATAGAATGTTTCTCATACTGTGACTGGCATATTTTTGAATATAACGCGCAGCAACGCAATCCGGCCACACCAATAAACGACATTTTTAAACTTAGCTGCCTGACAAAATACACTTGGCAACACTTAAAGGCACAATGCAATGGGACGGACCCTACTACACTCACTTGCTCTTTGCTCCTATTGTGACGACAACGACGACTGATTTGTCTGGAGGCTCTAGTGTGAGCGCCAGCGTATAATAAACCTGCCACGCAACTAGTAATTTGGTCAGAAACGTGTTGAGTGTGCCAGCGAGCAGACGTGTGCTTTAAGAGCTTAAGTCAATAAGTAGGGGAAGATTTTTTATTGCTCGAACCGTACTGCTAATACACACACAGAGAGGTATATCAGACTTCCAATACATTCTTAAATACATACATATGTATGTATATTGGGGCAAATAATTGCTAAGCTGTTTTTTTTTCTTGAACCTCTTCATTTCCTCTGTCGTCTGCGTAGTTTTCGTCGTCGTGCTGAATTTTTTTAAACGTGTAAACCAAAGTGAAAACCAGAAAGACCAATACCGATTAAAAAGGAACATTATTAACAAAATGGCCAGTGCAGAAAATAAAAGTTCTACTGGAAATGGCAATCGTCCCCCTGTTAGCTCGTCGGAGCACCAGGTAAAGGATACGCAAAGTTTGCTTCCACACTTGGAGTCATTGGAGCGAATCATCAAGTTACCCGTGGTGGGCGCTGCGTGGGATAAGTCACAAGATGTCTACGGCAAAGTGAAGGGTAAGTGAAAGTGCATGAAGAGCATGACGGATAAGTAAAGGTTCTCATAATCAGAGTGCATGCGTAGTGCTAAAAATGTCACTGCTAGTGCGTTGAACTCGGGTGCTTGACATACACATGGCTGGCTATGCCTAACGACAACCGTAATGTAATCTATGTATATGTATTAATGTAAGTACATACATATGTATGTGTGTTTATGCAGTCCAAAGTGCATAACAACGGCGGCAATAAAGAAGAAGGAAGGCAAAAGATTACAGTTATTTGGCTGCTTATTTTCTTCGTCTTCTTTTTTCATTTTTATTTCCGAGGGCAAAAGTCGGAGTTTCGTGCCTTCGGTCGTTTTGAGTACAAATTGAGACAGCGACGTCGGCGCAGTAAACCAGCCAGCCGCCATTGCAACGCGCATAGCTTCATATTTCTTGCAGTGCCTCCTCTCGCCTCTGCATTGCACAAATTTCATCATATTGGCCACGCCGGCTATTAACTGTGCAAAAATTAGTAACTGTTTACGAAGGGAATACAAACAACATACATATGTATGTATCCAATGCATATAATATGTATTTACATATTTATATATACACATATGTATATATGTATGTACATACATACATACATACATACATACATACATACATATGTACGTAGATAGGCGAAAAAAAGTCAAAGGCGAACTGTGCAGCATTCCTACGAAATTGAGTTTAATTAAAGTCAATTGTTGGCATACCGGGCAAGGCAGAGGATTTCATAAAATCTTTGTGCATCATTAAATATGATTTTTTATTGACTTGCTTTTGAGTTGATTTTATATTAAGATTTTTACACTCGCTGGCACTTTGACCGCCTAAGCCCGTGGGCGTATGTCGGGGTCTGGTTTGTTCTAGTCTACTCAGATCGACGTGACATGATGAATTAGTCATAGTCGCAACAATTCCAACTGCACGTATCAGCAAGCTTAGCAACAACCTTACAAGCAGTTGTTTGTCGTTGTTGTCACTGTGTGTTCAAAGTACAAATGCGAGGACGTATAAACGTAAAAATTTACATAACATCATTTGCAACAATACGTGTGTATGTATGTATGTATGTATGTAGATTAAATCTCTTAAAATATACACACGCATAGAACAGCTTAGTTTGTTTATCAATAAATGGAAACAGTGGCGGGTGCTGTACTCGCATGTGTACGTCACTTTGTACCATCAACGAATGCTGCTACTGCGCACACCACTGGAACACTGGCAGTGTGAGCAACGTTAGTGGACTTTCGACTTATTTGCTATATTTTGTATTTCGCATACCACTGCGTTCCGTGCTTTTCTTTTGATGTTTTGATTAGCAAAGACATGGCATACATACATACATATGTATATACATACACACATTCATAATTGAATGCATACACTCGTATATACATAAATACGTATGTATGTATGCAGCATGTTTATTTGTGGTATCAGTTATTGTTGCTAGTTGAGTGACTGAAAAAAGGCTGGCTAGCTGACTAGTCGGTGGCATACGATTAACCATGACTAAATAAAGAAAACAACAGAACCAGAAACTACTTGTATGTATCAAAGTCTAACTTGTTGACTCGATTAAATTGTTTCGTGACGCTTGTCATACTGTGGACAGAAATGAGAAGGGAAGAAGGGTGTATCACTTTTACTGCGCAGTTGTATAGAGCAAAACCAGCCAAAGCCCTGTAGTTAGTTGGCTTATCAGTCAATTCAAGCACCGACGGACTGCGCGCTTCCCTACCACCCACCAATAACCAACGAGTAGGCGCGATAAGTGGGTTAGTAATCACATGCCCACAAATTAATTTCAGAAATTTTCCAACCATGCATCGTTCTTTGGCCTCAAAATTCTACGAATTTTAAAACAACGTAAATGATGTGATAGCTAATATACATACTATTCATTTTTTAATATACGATTACTTAGATATGTTTGTCTGTTCTCCGTGATGTTACAGGCAAGAACCGTGTCTTCAACTGGGCACTGTGCGCCGCTGAGGATTGTGTGTCGCGCGCCGTGTGTACTGCCGCACCCATTGTCAATAAACTGGATAAGTCTATTGCTTACGTGGACCAGACCCTGGTCAAGGGAATTGATAAATTAGAAGTGAAGGCGCCCATTATTAAAGACACCCCACAGGAGATATATAACCAAGCAAAAAATCGCGTCATCGATTGTGTGCAGCCGCACATTGAACGCGTGGTCAAATTCAAGGCAGCGGGTCAGCAGAAAGCCGCCTCGCTCAAAGATCTTGCCTGGCAGAAAGCTAACGAGGTCCTGGCTACACAGTATGGCAGTCTTGCTGTCAACGGTGTTGATACTACAACAGCGCTGGCTGAACGTTTGCTCGAATACTATTTCCCCAAGTCCGAATCCGATGTGGAAGAGGATAATGGTGAGTAAAAAATCAATCTTTCGTTGTCCAAGTTGAAGAATCTCTACATAAATAAAGACAGATATTAACAGACATTGTTTTTCACGATGAAATTTGACGAGTAGTCAATCAGTTCTTTTTATGAGTTCAATAGACCAACTCTTGTTTATTGGTCTGACCTAGAACAGCTTCCCTATTTTTTCCAATATTTATTTGTCCATCTGTTTATTGAACCGATTCGGGACACATTTGGTTAGTCGTCTATTGTTCCACATATTCGTGTTTCTTTCTATAAATAAAGCACTGTAAATATTTTTAATTCTCAGATAATAAACAAAATGCTGTAGTGCAAAATGGCAAAAGAGCAGAAAACGACAGTAAGTTTTGTTGTTTTGAAAAATCTTTAATGTCCAAAACATAACATAAAGCATGCACACTAACAAATAAAACTTTATTAAGAGCGCAAAAGATGCTTTAGGATATGTATAAACAAAACGAAGTTAGTTATACCTATTTATACAAGTACATGTGTAAGTTAAAAACAAATTTGTTAGTAATCAGTTTTGGGGTTAGTTGTGATGGACGCTTACCATTAATGGGATCCCATACTATCAGCATCTTCTTCTGTCCGTATACTTATTTGCTTATGAAGATATAAATAAATTCGTGCAAAAATGTTTTAGTTGAAGGGCTGTGGCAGACGGGAGGTCACAGGAATCTGGCTGGCGCGATTTAAACGTTTTATTCGTCTTATGTATTCCACTTGGCCATATTGCTGTTATCTTCACTTTAAATGTTTATATCCTTTCCATACTTATGTAAATACCCACACATTGTGCTCTTCTCTTTTATTTTTAGTTGTTGTTCGTGCATCTGGGGCACAACGACATGCTTACGATCTTGAGTACGACAATGATCAAGAGATTGACAATAGGTTTTTACTAGCTGCCTCCACGTTATTTCTATCCATGTCGTTAAAAATCATTAGCGAAATTGCCCAGTACGTTAGAAGAAACCCAGAGATAATTGACATTGTCGATAGGGAAATCAACTATTTTATGGTAAGCCAATAGTTTTAATCCGGAAGCGGATATTCATTTAGTTCTGTAGTAGTGTAATGTCCTGCAGCACTAATTGTCACATGTGAAGCCACATGAGCGAACTAATTTTATCTTTGGTCCCTTAACTGTTTATATTTCTCTCTTTTGCAGTGCCAGTTCCCGCCAGCGAGGACCCCGTTTTACACACAGTACAGACTGTCGGACGCCTATCCAATAAGATCTCACGTCGTGTCTATCGAAATGTCTCCAGGCAGATCAAGCAGGTCCAAAAGGGCAACATTAACGACTATCTAAGCTCCCTAATTGCAGCCCTAAAACTGCATCAGTACATAAACTTTATTAATTCATCAATGGGCACAAATGTGGAGCAGTCCACGTTAGCTGAAAGCTGCACGCCCTACGGATCCACTTCTTCAGCTGCGCCAGGAACCATATCGTCCTCTCCCTCCTCGGTAGCTGTGTCCGTGAGCGCCAGCAACAAAAACAAAGCTTCCGCGCCCAGGGTGCCCTTGGCTGCGTCTGGTGGCCAATAATTGTGTTGCGTCTTTCGTAAAGTGCAACATCGCCTGCACTTGGGTGCATATTCATCCCTCATTATCATTTGTCTCTTTTTTTTAAAAATTTTTAGCATTTTGACCGCTGTTTAGTGGGAAAAGTAGCTCAAGCTGACACTATAGGGATAATCATGTTTGTGAAATTTCTTGTTTCCTGATGCCCCATTCACCGCCCCCCTGTACCACCACTAATGCTTTGTAAATATTTATTTTGAAGTAGCAGAGCAAGCTCTACGCACCTGGCAGTCCCTCTATTTACATATATTTACTTGCATAAAATTAAGTTATAGTAGTTGAGGAACATAAAAATTATAGAATTTCCTTTAAGATTTAGCTGTGCTAACTTTAAATTTAAATCAAGGCGCCGCACAACTCCAATCCATATTTCCCACAGCGCCCTCAGTCGCTTGCAATCGTAAATTGTGCAGGCGGTCCAAATTCAGTTTTAAGCAACGTTATGTATAGCGTTTTGAATGAAGAATATATATTACATCTTATACAAATCTTTACATATACATACACAATATATTAGATTTAAAATTATAGATATCACACTGTTGATAGTAATGATAATGTTTATGAGAAGAACTTAATGCTATAATGAATTGTGCTTTATAAATATGAAAATATTAACAATATTTTACTCTAAATAGTAAGCTAAAAACAAAAACCTGAAAAATAAACAACAAAAACAAGATACACATGCCGCTTTTATAGAATAAGGAGGAACACAATATACATGCATATACATACATACGTCTAAATACACATAATACGTACTTGGCTTACATTGTGTCTATATTGTCTATGCGTGGTCGTGTGTGAGTGCAGAATTAAGCCAGAGAGGCAACAACAGCTTCGAACAGAGCTTTGCGATTTTAAATCAACTTACGAACAATAAGAAAGCTATAACTCCGAGTCCTGAAGCTAAATAGAGCTAAAATTAGTTTAAAAGAGTATATGATTTTATATTAGGTGATATACATTTGATTGTTTCAGAAAAGTAATACGTTTTTGAACGTTATCTTTATCAGGGTCGGTGAGCGCTGAAATGGGGTTAACGTTAGAAAGTTCAGACTTTGGTATGTATGAATAATTTTCGATAAGAGCGTACTCAGATAAAAGTAGTTGTTAGGGTTAATGTTTTGGAGTGTTAAGAACTACCCATATGGCACCAACCACTTTCCCATCACCATTTATCTTTTCCAATCTAATAGTAATTTGGAAAAGATATATGAGTACCCTCGAGTTCAAACTGGATCAAGCCGACTGGCCCAAATTTACTCTGCTATCAGATCAACTGTCCGCTGTGAAGCCACCAATTCATAACATCAACAAAGAAGCTGCTAATATCTCTAAACTTATCCGCCAATATGTCCATTCCTAAAACCCACCATTACGTTCAATCTAACTTCAAAGTTCCCTGGCCAAACAATAACCTACAACAACTCAGGGACACAAAAATTAAGCACTAGCCAAAGTCTTCAGATTATGATTGGGTTTATATTTATTAACACTTAACCCGGCTCAATATAATGTCTCCAATTGTATTTATTTTGTGTATGCATAACCTACCCATATGTTTTCACCTTAAAGGTTACCAGTAGGAAGGTATTTAAATGAACATTTTCTGTTCTTGACAAAAAATTGTTCAATAGTCCGTTACATTTTTGTTCTTGCCAAACTATTTCGTTAAACCACTAACCATGCAACATATAGATGCGTCATTTCATACAACGAAAACGTCCCATCGAATTTGTTAGCGACAGCTCCCATAGCTGTTCGGGTATTTGCCGAATGGGAGCTGTCGCACTTCGGCTATGAGCCGACTGGGAGCTGTCGCATTCGTGCTCTCTGTGAGCGAATTTCATTTCATTCGCAGAGAGGCAGTCTACAGAGACGGTCGGTTCGCGCCGCTTATGCTCTTTGAATGTGTGCGTGCACATATATACATGTATATGTTTATATGTATTTGTGCATTTGGTCTTTTGCTGTTTGCGAGCAGCAGCTTCAATTTCGTTTTCAGATTTTACCTGCTACATGGGCATCAGAATTTCATACACTGTTGCCATATTTCTGTCGCATTGTATTTTGGGATGCGTATGCAAGTGAAGTTTGTCAGTAGTGTATGGGTTTCTCATAACGCCTATAAAAGCACACATACATACAATTACATACATATTTATGTGTGCAAATGTTGTGTTCATATGCAGACCTTGACATTGTCATGACCTGCCTCAACTTATATTTATGCACAAGCAATTTTATTGATAGACTATTTCTTATTTTTGTTTGACTTGCATATTAATTACAAAATATTTGGTAAAAATGTCAGTTGGCATTTAAATCAAATTAATTCAAAAATATTAGTTTAAAAATATATTATTTTATTTATGTTCTTGGTAAAAATGTCGGTTGGCAAATTAGCCGATATTTAATATGAAAATAAGTACATTTAAGGGTCGCAAAATGTGGTAAAATTTGTAAAACAAGTGTAATTAAATAAATAAAAATACATACATATATGTTTATATGTATGTACATCTTTTGATAATTTAATATATATTGTTTTTTTTTTAATTCGCCGCTCAAATTTGTTACCGATCTAATGTTGTATATGAACAAACATATTACATCGGTTGAGTTTAATCTCATCATGTCCAAAATGTTGTACATGAAAGTCTTGACATCAACAACAGTATCTGGGAACTGTGCCCCCGATGAAGATACTATGTTGATTAACATTATACAAGACTGTGGGTCAAATCAATCATCATCACAGCTAACATCTTCTGAAGATGATGACTTAATTTTCATTGATGACGAATTAGAATTAGAATTGGCTATAGAAGCAACAGATTTGAATATTCAAGACGCTTTCAATGAGAATGCTTTGCGTTATTTTGCAGGGTATCTCTTGCATAAGCTCTTGAAGAAACTCGACTGCAAAGTGTGTTCAAATCTGTTGAAACCGCCCGATGAAGTCCAATGCACTTCCGAGTATTTAATACTAAATAAAAACTTTGGTTACGTTAATAGTAACCTTAAACTTATGATTTTTTCACTTTAATTAAAATACACTTTGATGTTTTTAAACGGTATTTCGAGACAAAGTCTCACAGATTCCATTTGAAAAAAACAATAGTTCAAAAATGCGTATTCATTACATCAAAGTTAGATAAATACGCATGCTGGTTTTCAGAGTCTGGTCCGTGTTATAATCACAGAACTCAATTGCTTAATGAGTTCATTTTGATTTTAATTTAAAAAAATTGTAAATGGATAACAGATGGGATTGCTGGTAGTAAGAACTCCAGGGTAGCTTTAAATAAATTAAAAATAATTAAGCAGTAGAATTTTTTCTTACTTTATGTTTAAATAATAGCAAATATTAAATATTTACATGTTAGTTAATACACTAAATAAGGTAATATTAAGTGGGGAACATGGATTTGACTTAATTTCAAACACTTATAAATAGTAATTAAAATGTTATGCATTTTTGAAATTAAGTCATTTCAAGTCGACTCAAAGGTCCTATTATTTTACGACCCCATTAAAATGTTGATGGCCTCCACGTAGTGTTCTCTGGATACCGATGTAATGTGTTTGCTCATATACAATATTAGATAGGTAACAAATTTGAGCGGCGAATTAAAAAAAAAACAATATATATTAAATTATCAAAAGATGTACATACATATAAACATATATGTATGTATTTTTATTTATTTAATTACACTTGTTTTACAAATTTTACCACATTTTGCGACCCTTAAATGTACTTATTTTCATATTAAATATCGGCTAATTTGCCAACCGACATTTTTACCAAGAACATAAATAAAATAATATATTTTTAAACTAATATTTTTGAATTAATTTGATTTAAATGCCAACTGACATTTTTACCAAATATTTTGTAATTAATATGCAAGTCAAACAAAAATAAGAAATAGTCTATCAATAAAATTGCTTGTGCATAAATATAAGTTGAGGCAGGTCATGACAATGTCAAGGTCTGCATATGAACACAACATTTGCACACATAAATATGTATGTAATTGTATGTATGTGTGCTTTTATAGGCGTTATGAGAAACCCATACACTACTGACAAACTTCACTTGCATACGCATCCCAAAATACAATGCGACAGAAATATGGCAACAGTGTATGAAATTCTGATGCCCATGTAGCAGGTAAAATCTGAAAACGAAATTGAAGCTGCTGCTCGCAAACAGCAAAAGACCAAATGCACAAATACATATAAACATATACATGTATATATGTGCACGCACACATACAAAGAGCATAAGCGGCGCGAACCGACCGTCTCTGTAGACTGCCTCTCTGCGAATGAAATGAAATGCGCTCACAGAGAGCACGAATGCGACAGCTCCCAGTCGGCTCATAGCCGAAGTGCGACAGCTCCCATTCGGCAAATACCCGAACAGCTATGGGAGCTGTCGCTAACAAATTCGATGGGACGTTTTCGTTGTATGGAATGACGCATCTATATGTTGTATGGTTAGTGGTTAAACGAACATGACCACTATAACTAATATTTTTTAAAGCTCGTTTTACCCCCTTTGGAGCTAGAATTTTCCAAAAGCCTTTCTTAGTGTGCTCCTACACTATGATGGATACTATGAAAGGATACTTGACTCCAAATTTAAATTCACATTTGAGTCTTTTCGTGTCATATTGAGTCAATACGGCCACGCACAAACTCGGAATATGAAACACGGCATTCGTGTCAATGCCGTGCAGCGATGAGCCACGATCAAAAACCACTGGCACCGATACCATCAAAATATCGAAGTTTGAATGCAATAAGCAGAATATTTAAATAATAAAATCTAATTATTTATTGACATTAATAAGAACAAATCATATACATACATACATCTGCCCGCAATGCGAAGCAGAATATGCGTAGCTCCGATATTTGGTTTCTGCTTTACTATCGCTTACGCAGTCGTTGCCTAGCGACGGCAACTGTAAACTTTTGGCGTTTTGCCTTTGCAATTAACATTAAATGGTCAAAACGAAAGAAGAAGAGCGAGCTAATGACTTGCAGTTGTTGTTGTTTTTAGAGCATTATTTTTTTTACAATCAAACAACTGTGTTCGATTGCCCAATGTATACATTAATACGAATGTACATACATTCTATATTCATACACAGGCATACATACATATGTACATATGTTTCTCTTTACTTTTTCAACCGTACGTAGAGAACCGCACACATAGACACGAACTGTTGCTTGTTGTGTGTGAGTGTGTGTATGTGATGTCCCCAACTATTTGATATTTGTTGTTGCTGTATAAAGTTATTAATGAAAACACTAATGCCAAATGCACTAAACAAAGAAAAAATTACTTTTAAAAATGTTATATAATTTTCAATTAATTAACATTTCTTGCTCTGTCAGTGCAAGACGAATGTACATACATACATATGTAGATACATATGTAAATACATATATGTGCACATATACATATGTATGGATATTCACACATTAGTGTCTCACATTTTGCTTTGGCTATTTCAATCGTTTGCACGCAACTACACGAACAGCTGCTGGCATGTGTGTGTGTGTGTATGTATACTTAGTTGTCCCCAACTGTTTGATATTTTGTATTGTTTGTTCTGCCTGCTTTTGTAAAATGCATATTTTGAAAATCCTTGAATGC